CATTAACACTGGTGAGGTTAGCGGTAGGTGAAAATGTCTCATCATAGTTTTCACCCCTCTTCTGACTCTATCCCTTGGCTACATATCGTGCCTTGTATCTTTCAGACCCATCAACATTGGTTTTGATATCATACACCCATTTACCCTCCACTGCTTTCTCACTTTGAGGTAAGTTTGTCAGGATAAATGTGTCATTTTATTTTAGTGATTGCATTTCCTCATCCATTGCAATAACCCATTGTTTTGACTCAGATGAAGTTACAGCTTCCCTAAATGTTAAAAGGGATATTGCACATTAATCTGTAACAATAGTCAATATTTGTCAGTAGCTGATCCTCACTTTCCTTACCACATACACTGTCACATAAGTAAACTGGCTTCTTCCTCACTCTTGAAGGATAACGCCTAAGCTCACTGTTGTTGTCTTCTGTCTCTGTTACCACAGGTATAGATACTGGACTAACGTTAGTATCGCACTTGATTTAGCCAGATTTGTTCTGTACCTCAAAGTCATCATCAGAGACGGTTTCTGTTTGTGTTTCTCTTTCTGAATTGGTCTTGGTCACAAACTTCACAAGTCTAGATCTTTGCACTTTTTCACTGTGAGGGAAATAGACCATGTAGGCAGGACTATTTTTGTCATATCCGACAAAAATTCCCTTTTCACACATTGAGTCCAGTTTGTTTTTGTCTTGCTTATAGGCAAAGCACACTGACTCAAACTTTTCCTCGTCGCTTACCATCCTGTTCAACTTTTTCTCGTCGCTCACCGTCCCGTTCAACTTTTTCTCGTCGCTCACCATCCCGTTCAACTTTTCCTCGTCGCTCACCGTCCCATTCAACTTTTCCTCGTCGCTCACCGTCCCGTTCAACTTTTCCTCGTCGCTCACCGTCCCGTTCAACTTTTCCTCGTCGCTCATCGTCCCGTTCAACTTTTCCTCATCGCTCATCGTCCCGTTCAACTTTTCCTCGTTGCTCATCGTCCCGTTCAACTTTTCCTCGTCGCTCATCGTCCCGTTCCACTTTTCCTCGTCGCTCATCGTCCCGTTTAACTTTTCCTCGTCGCCCATCGGCCCGTTCAACAACTGCTCGTTTACTTTATGGGTATCAAGGAGTACTTCTCCAGCGTCTCCCTCCAACATGGACTCCATCGACTGGAAAAGTGCGAAGGCTTTCTTTAAGGAGATCTCATTGGGAGACAGATCTCTGGCCAGACACAGTCAGTTCAGTATATAGGCTGATCATACGTGGCTTACCTGTGCCAGTATAATAGTCTCATAAAATCTTCAATGCCTACCGACCATTATCCGCCTCCTCCCTCATTACAAGGGACAAACTTTTGTCATCCAGAAATTGGATAAGCTCTGCATAAGCCTCTTAATTGTTCCCTCCATTGTCCGCCTCTTCATCTTCCTCAATTATGTCCGTAGGCCTCCTTAAAATAGTATTCCTCAGTTCCTGTAAGCGAAGATGGCCCAAGAATTTCGTCTCCCACAGTTCATAGTTATTTTCATCCCCGTCAAACACTAGCCGAGACCAGTGGCTACTGGAACCTGCGCCCAACCTGCTCATCGCGTTAGCTTAGCTTGCTAATCCACTACACGTGTTACGTTGTGACTTTCCATCGGTGGACAAACGCCGGAAATACTTATTTGGGTGTCTCTGGGCCCATAACCTGTTAACAGAGTAAGCTTTACGTGCATTGCTGTTTAGCATCCAAATAAGCGGAGGAATAACAAAGCATCCAAGACAGTGGCATTTCATTCAACAAACACTCCCATTGGAGGCGTGGCTTTATTTATTCCCGTCATTGAACTTGAACCTGGTTCGCTATTGGCTTCCAGCCATGCACAACAAATCACAAACAGGTAACACATTTACCTCAATGTTAACACTGTTGGCTCGTCAACCAGACAGAACTATCACTATTTGTTCTGGTTTTCAGTGTTTTGGTTAGGGGTGCAACAACTAATCGACTTAATCGATTAAAATCGATGACCAAATTAGTTGCCAACTAATTCAGTCGTCGATTCGTTGGTGACGTCATCACGTGTGTTTTACGCGCCGTTAAGCTCCAATGTTATCGGTCTTTTTATCGGTACTGGAGACATTTAAAAAAGATATGTCATGTGTTATTGCTACATAAACATTATATCGCAGTCTAAGTTTCGCCAACTCGTTTCTAATATGCAAAAAGACAAACAAATGCGTCTGATGTATTTTCGATCTTTCCAATCCAGACGCGATCTCTCTCCCCCGTCTGTGTGCGAGGGGGCCGGGCAGTTTACACACACGCGGCTGCTACATGCAGCAACACACGGCGGGGATGGCGGAGAGAAGCGCTCTCAAGGTGTGGTTAAATGTTACCCGTCTCGATGTGGACAATGCTCGTTGCCAAGAGTGCAATAAGAGTTTAGCATGTAAGGGCGGTAACACGAGCAATTTGTCTAAACATTTAGCAAAAGCGCACCACATTCAGACGGAGGAATGCACCGGGTTCGACTGTCTTTCTAGTAGCTCTGTAGCCCCATCCACGAGTAACTTTTCCACGTCAGCAACACACGAAGTTAACACAATTATACAAACATGGGTTAATGATTAGAGGTAACTGAGTTATTTATTTAGTAAAAGTGTCAGCTATTCTGTTTACAGTTCTGTTATCACATTATTTAATACCATTTGTTAAAACATTGTTGTTTCTTTTGATGTGAAATATTATTTATTTAATTTAAATAAAAAGCAATGTTAATTTTGTTCACAATTTGTTTAGTTAATTTAATAATATGTGTATTTTTGAATCAAGTATTCATCTTTATTGTCTTCATTGTTAGTTTCCACATGCCTAAAACAACCTCAAGCTACATCTAAAAGTTGATGGCTAAATAAGAGCGTTTGAGAAATTGTGCGAGGCATAATAGTCCGAATAGTCGATTAATCGTTTAATTAATCGATAGGTTAATCGATTATCAAATTAGTCGTTTGTTGCAGCCCTAGTTTTGGTTCACATTTTTTCTTCCTCATGTTGCTGCGGATGTGAAAGCAAAACCAGCGCAACGTGTTCAAATATAAGTTCTCATTAACATCAGAAGAACTAGGAAACTCATTATCACTCATGACCTGCTTTGCTTCTGCACTTAGTGTTTGAGTCTTTGAAGTAAAGTTACAACATACATGCGTATTGCAGGAAAGCTTTTTTTGCTGTATTTCTCTGTTTATAACTTCCTTGATTTTCTTATACAAGTCTTACAGATGAAAGCCTGCTTATTTATTTGTTTTTGATCAACCTGACATTCTACATTTTTCCTTCCAGTCTCTGTCAAAACAGCCAGAAGGAAAGTAATGTGTGTGAGCCTCCCCAGGTGACTATTCTTACCCGTAACACGATTCTCAGTTATACCTTCTATTCCAGTACTGCCATTCATAAAACTCAAGCTCTCCCATTGGACTTGACCTTTCTATTGAAAATACCTCACAGATGTGTTACAATACTTCCCACTAAACCCCATGTACTTGCCTGATCTATGTGATAAGAATTTTGGTTGGTGATATACAATAAATGACTGTGCTTTTCTGTTGTTGTACTTACAACAAATACAAGACACACACTGAGGGACATCAATACAACTGCCAATTTGAAAAGCTGCTTTTTTTTTTATTATTGGAAGCTCTACAAAGAGAAGGAAATCTGATTTTGGAGATCTAATTTCATACTTTTGTTTATTTATTTAAGATCTATAGGTGATACAAGTGCACCAAGTCATATCTAAGAATACATCTGACTTTTTGGTTTCCTTTTCCCTAAAGTAGGTGTTCCACATACATGATACATGATAAGAAGAATGCCTAGTATATATTGATTAACAGGGACAGAGCTTATTAGGCCCATGGAAACAACATATGTCCATGATCTGTAGCTCTATTGCTGTACAAATCTATGTCTCATTTAACCAGGTTATATTACTCAATGCACGGCACCTGTCAATGCTAAACCATGGCTTGTGGATAGACAACACAAACACACATTTAATCTATTCTGTACATAAGGGGAAATGTTGCAATGTGGTCACGAAAGACACAATAGTAACTTTCAAGTTGGCAATTTCCATTAGATAAAGTAGCCTTTTTATTTAAATCGCTGTGTTGTTATATCTCTCAAGGCTGCATTCCAATTAAACACTTGTATAATTGAGCTTAAAAATATTGAAATCAGTGTCTGGAAGCTTGTAGTATCCTGCACCTTATCACTTTTTGCAGAAAGCTTAACATCTGATTATCAACACGATGACTGGGCTGAATATCTGCTCTATGCTGCAAAATGGTGATCATATGACTAATGACAAAACGTGTGAACTTTTATTAGGGAATGTCATAGATGAGGGGGACATGAATGACTGTCATTTTTGTATCCCATTCTCAACATGCACACTTGTGGGACGCACAGTGATAACCATTAAAGCATGAAAAGATGCAATGGAAACAACACAACGTCCCCGTGTTTACAATAAATGGCACATAAAAAAAGGTTGACGCTACAACACAGCATGTTCGTATAGCTGCACATGATAACAGTTAAAGAGCAACAAGCTAGGCCCATTCTCCACAGGCGGCCATACACAAATTCTGTATTTCATTCCAGTGGGTTGTTAGCACATTCCTGGATGGAGACTGTGTTGATCTTCATGGTGTAGAAATACTTATGTGAAATACAAGCAGCTGCTGCAGCTAAACGTAAAATAAAAAAATAAGACTCCCATCCATTTTCGGCAACATCAAAGCAAAGCAGCAAACAAACATGACAGGAGAGTGAAAGCAACATGTATGTGGCTACTGTTAGTACTGTTAGGTGGCTAGCTAACACTAGCTCAGCTGAGTACATGCAATCAGGACAAACCAAGTTAAATGATGGTGACAGCCTCTCCACTGTGTTCTACAAACTACCAAAGCCACATGTTAACATACAAGGACTAGAGAAAAGCATTTTCGTGCAAACATAATTTTACCTTTGCCTTTTCCAGAGGGGAGAATTTCAAGACGTGCACAAAAGGGTTTCTGAACGGAGGAGCTTGGTCCATCTTCTTTCCATCTTCTTCTATCGCACATCGTCTCTTACTCGGTAACCTCATTCTTGCAAGAAGTCACGTTGGTCGGGGTTACAGCTATATTTTTAACATTCCAAACATGAAACCGGTTTTGCCTAAAACGTAACGTTGGACCCAAAAAAAAAAACCGCAGTTTACCTTATCAGTATTGCACGGTGGATAATTCAGGTGGCAGTGCAATGTTATTATCGTTATCTCCGTTTCTCGGACAGCATGGAGGGATAATGGTTAGCTAAAGGATTAGCTGGCGATATTTGAAGTCGCTGATATATTTCTGCCTACAGTGCGCAGGACGCCTTCCTCCACACCGTGTTCCCCAAACAGTCTGCTAGTCCTGGATGCTAACTGAGCAACGATTCTGCTCTTCTCACAAGGCGCATGCGCCACACATCCTTCGCATCTATATCACGGTGCCTGGGATGCTTCCTTCACAACTGTCCAATGTAGTTTAAATATTGAAGCATCGATTTATAATACTGTTCTACTTTTGGAGAGGGAATGGAAAACATATAATCAACTATTAAAGTATGCACAATTGGTCAATAAAATAGCCATAATGTAGGAGTAGGCAAAATAAATCTAATGTCATAGACAGAAAATAAGGTTGTCACAGCTGCTCAAAGACAGCAATAGTAAAATGACATACAAAGAGTAAAATGATGCAGGAAACATAACAGGTTTTTAACCTGAGATAAAAATAAAATAAAATAAATGCATCCTGTGTTTCATCTGGTTACTGTCATATCAAGCCTTGCACCAACTCTCAAAAGGTAAAGTATATAAATTGTGTTCTCTATTGCAATGGATTCTGTTATGCAGATTACTGGAACAATATATTGGATGTTGCTGCAATGCATCACATGTTGCTTACTGCAACCCTGCAGCTATTTCTGAAATATAACATCAAACTGACAGACTCACCTAATTACTTTTTAGGAAATGTAAAAGAGGAACTAATCATTGCTGCCATTGTGGTTTGTTTGGTTGGCCTTAGCTCCCCCTGAAGGCTATATACTCCCAGTGTGTCAATCCGTATCTATAAATAACAAGGAAACAGTTAATAGGCAGTGTGTGGCTGCTTGTCTATTAGGTCTATCTACTTGCACTCTGGTGGCTTAGGCTGAAGAGGCAGTACCGCCTGCTTTGCTTGGAACAAAAGGAAAGGTTAAACCTATTAGTGGCATCCAGCTCTTCATACAGAAGAAGAGTGGGAGTCTTTACAAGTAGGTGTGTATTAATGGACGGCTGGTTAACATAAAATGTAAAGTAGTAGTCCATAAGAGCTATTTCTGCCGTGCATGCTTGCCTTTGTGTATGTGTGTTGGTGTTTGAGCTAGAGTGCGTGTGCTTGTGGATGTATACACAGATGGCATACACATTTGTAACTGTGAGGGTATTATGCTCTGAGTGCAGTCATTGTCTCTGAAATGACTCACGACAGCCATACAGTACATCCGGAAAGTATTCATGCCCCTTCACTTTTTCCACATTTTGTTATGTTACAGCCATATTTCAAAATGGATTAAATTCATTTGTTTTCTCAACATTCTAGACACAATACCCCATAATGACAAATTGAAAAAAGTTTTAAAATTATTTTTTAAAATTAATTAAAAATAAAAAACTCACATATCACATAAACATAAGTATTCACACCCTTTACTCACTACGTTGTTGAAGCACCTTTGGCAGCAATTACAGCCTCAAGTCTTCTTGAGTATGATGCTACAAGCTTGGCACACCTATCTTTGGGCAGTTTCTCCCATTCTTCTTTGCAGATCATCTCAAGCTCCATCAGGTTGGATGGGGAGCGTCGGTGCACGGCCATTTTCAGATCTCTGAGATGTTCAATCGGGTTCAAGTCTGGGCTCTGGCTGGGCCACTCTAGGACATTCACAGACTTGTCCTGTAACCACTCCTTTGTTATCGTAGCTGTGTGCTTCATTGTCCTGTTGAAGTGTGAACCTTCGCCCCAGTCTGAGGTCGAGAGCGCTCTGGAGCAGGTTTTCATCAAGGAACTCTCTGTATATTGCTGTATTCATCTTTCCCTTGATCCTGACTAGTCTCCAAGTTCCTGCCGCTGAAAAGCATCCCCACAGCATGATGCTGCCACCACCATGCTTCACTGTAGGGATGGTATTGGCCAGGTTTGGTTTCCTCCAGACATGATGCTTGGCATTCAGGCCAAAGAGATCAATTTTGGTTTCATCAGACCAGACAATTTGTTTTTCTCATGGTCTGACAGTCCTCTCGGTGCTCCATGTGGGTTTTCATGTGTCTTTTACTGAGGTGTGGCTTCCTTCTGGCCACTCTACCATAAAGACCTGATTGGTGGAGTGCTGCAGAGATGGTTGTCCTTCTGGAAGGTTCTCCCATCTCCACAGAGGAACACTAGAGCTCTGTCAGAGTGACCATCGGGTTCTTGGTCACCTCTCTGACCAAGGCCCTTCTCCCCCGATGCTCAGTTTGGTTTGGGCAGCTAGCTCTAGGAAGAGCCGTGGTGGTTTCAAACATCTTCCATTTGCAAATAATGGAGACCACTGTTCTCGTTGGGACGTTCAATGCTGCAGACATTTTTCTGTACCCTTCCCCAGATCTGTGCCTTGATACAATCCTGTCTCTGAGGTCTACAGACAATTCCTTGGACCTCATGATTTGGTTTGTGCTCTGATGTGCACTGTCAACTGTGGGACCTCATATAGACAGGTGTGTTCCTTTCCAAGTCATGTCAAATCTATTTAATTTACCACAGGTGGACTCCAGTCAAGTTATAGAAATATTTCAAGGATGATCAGTGGAAACGGGATGCACTTGAGCTCAATTTTCAGTGTCATAGCAAAGGGTGTGAATACTTATGTAAATGTGATATTTCATTTGATTATTTTTAATGCGTATGCCAAAAATTATTTTAAAAGTGTTCTCTTTGTCATTATGGGGTATTATGTGTGAAATATTGAAAAACACAATTAATTTAATCCATTTTTAAATAAGGCTGTAACATAACAAAATGTGAAAAAAGTTAAGGGGTATGAATACCTTCCGGATGCACTGCATATGACATATTTTATTTATTAATGATGTATATTAATATGTGGTTTATACGTCATAATTGCATAATTGTGGGGGAACTTAAAATTGTATACTGATGGTACAAGTTTAAAGCCTAAGATTGTATGATCAAAAAGTATGTCCAAAGTATATTCATTAGATATTTTTTGTCTCAGTACAATCACAAATTTGAAATGGGGAGAATTTTTCAGATCTATAAAACCCATACCATATTAATAAAATAAATGAAATAGTCCTAGTAGAAATAAGCTATCATCTCTTCTCTTCTCTCCTAGAGCCCTGATGTAATATATTTTGGAATGTGACACCTTTGTATTGTGTATTGTTTGAATTGAATAGCTCATTATAACTGATGATATGATTCCCTCTAGTGGTGAAAACCTCACAGTACATTCAGAGGTTCTATATTTCAAAATGAAAAAGCACACACACTCAATCATTGGTGCAAACACACACAAACCCACAAACCTGTCGTGGACCATACAATACACTAAGGCTAAGCAATATACTTTGTTCTACTTCACAATAATTGTAGCGTGCAAATGTTAACATTCCCTTTTGTTCAGTAATGCAGGATATACTTAGCAAGCAGAGCCAAGAGAGAATGTAGACACCAGAAAATAGATAAGGTTAATTCAATAAATGACATTGAAAACTGTTTTCAAAGCAAGTACCAGCAGCAATTTACCTTTCTTTGAGCGGGTGGAAAGATTAAGGTGATGAACTCTTTTTTACCCCTATGTGATTCTTTAAATGAAACTAAGTTTCGACCACAGCATCCTGTTTTGTTGACTAATTTTCACACCATGTACATTTCACTTGTGATTGAACTTGTGACAGTGAAGGAGGTTTCACAAGCAAGCGTTAGTGTCTTACTGGAACAAGGAATGAGGACAAAAAATGTAAATGAAAACCACAACACAATGTTCTGTGTCTAGGCAGGATCAAATTATAATGCAATGCAATATAATAAAAACTCATTTATTCTCGAGCAAAGCTGCACCTGACCAATGTTAAACCAAAGACAAAAATCCTGCTGTCCTATTTTGATTGGCTATTTTCTATTTGTAACAAATTGTAGGGCTCTTATTGGCACAATTATAAATCTAGTAAATTCAGATGCAAAACTTTTCAAGACAAAGAAAAACCAAAAGCGTTACACATCCTTACCACAGTGCTTTATACTGCTTATAAACTGAATTGTGCTCGCACAGCAGTTTCGAAAGTCCTACTTTCACAAACCTATTGATTGGACTACATGTTCATATAGGTACTCAAGCATGGGGTGTGAAAAATAGCGCTGTATGTTGGAGAGACTGCACTTTATTTATCACACGTGATTTCTCCTTGTCCTCTCAGCAATCATGTTTTAGCTTACGACTTTTGTAATTGCAAGTTTGTCAAGATCAGGCACTCAAACGTAAACAAATATGCTGGATGCACATCTTGCAGGCACAAACACACACCCACCATTCGACTTCATATTTTAATTTGGGTGTGGAACGTGTAGTCAAAGTGCCCTGTGGGCTGACCATATCAGGTCGTGACATTTGCATTTGACAGGAATCACATCAGACAGGGTTAATACTGAGAAGATGGAGGGATAGAAAAAGGGAAAATAAATAGTGGAAAAGGTTTCCCCCATTCGTCCTACACCCCCTCCCCTCTCTCTTTCCCTCCCTCAATCCCATAGCTGAGGTGCTTAAATTAAAAAGGAAGAAATGCAATTTAAAGACATGGGGTAAACAATCACAAAACACTTGTTTCTGGAGGAGACACAATTTCCTGGTGCCTTGTCCAATTTCTTATGGCCTCGAGGGCTGCCGCATTCGTTTTAACACCTGGTTCTACACCGCTGATTAAAATTGTAATGCCAGTGTTGAATCAATCCATATGACATTTTGGAAATACACAAGTATCAGGTCATTTTATATATACAACATTTCTTTCTATTG